CCGCTCCTAACTTGGCATACCGGTCGGCGTAATCGTTTCCCGTCGCCAGGAACCACTCTCTGGATTGAGGCTCCAGCTGGTCCAGATCTACATGCGCCGCCACTTTGCGGATGGTGAACTCAGCATCCCAAGCTGGCGACGCACGTATCTTTATGCGCACGCCCGCGTAGATATGATGCCGAGAGGCGACGGCTGTCCAAGGGGCGTCGGACAGCTGGACTAGACCAAGAAAGTCAGAGTGAATGCCGCTTGCGTCAGGACAGTGCTCCATTACGGCTAGGGCTGCTATATGCTCTGCCGCAGGAGGAGGAGGGGGAGGAGGAGGAGGAGGAGGAGGAGGAGAAAGAGGAGGAAGAGGAGGAGGAGGAGAAAGAGGAGGAACCAGGAGAGAACCATGAGGCGGAGGCGACGGACGCACGGCTTGGAACCACGCGCCACGGGCACCCCCGTTTTGGTGCCCGTGCGACCGCCGCTAGACGCAAAGAGCGGGAAAAGAGAGGGGTAAGGGAGGGGGAGGAGCGAGAGGCAGTCAGGCAGGGGTGCTGCGCGCGGCGCGCGCCCTGTCTCAGCTTGCGGCGTGCCCTCGGGCAGGCTGCTCCCCGCGGCGCCAGGCCAGCCCAGCTGCTCCTCGGCGGCGCTGCATCGCCAGCTGCGCTTGCACGGAGCAACCGACGACATTGTAGGCCCGAGTCTGCTCGCCGAGCTTCCAGTCCTCGGGCAGGGTGCACACTTGCCGCAGAAGTCACTGTCGGGCTTCCCAGCCCAAGCGCCCGGGGGTGTCCACGAATGGCGTCAGTGTGTCCCTCGGGTACCTGGCGTGCTCCTTGCGCTCGACCCTCCTGGCAGCCTCGCCAAACCGGCGCGGCGCCGCCTGCACCGCGTCCTCGGTTGCCGAATGGCGGACCGAAACATCGATCCAGTGGCAACAAGCCCCGTCGTTGTACTCGACGTCGAAGACAGCGCGTTCGAGGAGGTCTGCGTCCGGCGGGTCCGCCGGCCTCCGGCTGCGGACACGGTCCCAAACTGGCACCCGCTGCTCCGTCAGCGGCTCTTGGCACCAGCGGCGGACCAGGCCAGCCACCGCATTTTCGAGGCTGCTGTGGCGGCGCTCCACACCGCCGCCCAGGGTGCAGGTGGCCGCGTGCGTGCCTTGCTCGTCCAGCGGCTGTTCGCAGGGCACGCCGCGGGCTCCATCGGCGGCAAGGCGGTTCTGGCAGGTCTGCGCGGCCGTCTGGAGTTGTGCCTGCGCGCATTCAGGCCTGGGCAAGTGCGCGCGGGCACGGAGCCCCGTGGCCCAGAGCGCGTCATCCAGCGAGTTTTCACATCTTCTGTGTTCCCCTTCGTTTTCTCCCACACATTTTTTGACACACGCATTCCATATATATATATATATATATATATATATATATATAATATATCCGCCGGCCCCCTTGTGGGGCCACCAGGCTGTAGGCCGTGATTCGCAGTTTCCTGTACCAGTCGTAGGTTGTAGTTTCCAGTGTTACAGTTCTGCTTCTTGCTGGTTACTGTAACTAGTTGACTTATTGCTGGTTACTGTAACTAGTTGATTGACCGCGCGAGGGGGGGGGAGGCCCAAACAAGATTTTTAGCGTCCCCTGGGCGCGTTGTCTGAATTGCTGGGGGGGCTCGAAATCGACACCCCTCACGCAGATCCGCGGGGTCAGGGTCCAAAAACACATGGGATTTGCCACATTTCTGAAATTCGGTGCCACCCCTCACGCAGATCCGCGGGGTCAGGGTCCAAAAACACATGGGATTTGCCACATTTCTGAAATTCGGTGCCACCCCTCACGCAGATCCGCGGGGTCAGGGTCCAAAAACACATGGGATTTGCCACATTTCTGAAATTCGGTGCCACCCCTCACGCAGATCCGCGGGGTCAGGGTCCAAAAACACATGGGATTTGCCACATTTCTGAAATTCGGTGCCACCCCTCACGCAGATCCGCGGGGTCAGGGTCCAAAAACACATGGGATTTACCACATTTCTGAAATTCGGTGCCACCCCTCACGCAGATCCGCGGGGTCAGGGTCCAAAAACACATGGGATTTGCCACATTTCTGAAATTCGGTGCCACCCCTCACGCAGATCCGCGGGGTCAGGGTCCAAAAACACATGGGATTTGCCACATTTCTGAAATTCGGTGCCACCCCTCACGCAGATCCGCGGGGTCAGGGTCCAAAAACACATGGGATTTGCCACATTTCTGAAATTCGGTGCCACCCCTCACGCAGATCCGCGGGGTCAGGGTCCAAAAACACAGGGGATTTGCCACATTTCTGAAATTCGGTGCCACCCTTCACGCACATCCATCGCAAGGCGTGGTAACCCAAACTGCGAGAACTTCCTCGGCCCTTTAATCGCAAGGTGTGGTAACCAAGCCCGTAAACCATACACGTCTTACCAATCGCCAGGTGTGGTAACCCCTCTTGACTTAGCTCTTCCATGGCCCATTCTCCGAGAGAGGGGGCCGGCGGCAGGGGGCGAGGCCCTTACTGATATATATATATATATATATATATATAGTATTAGTTTATCGGCAGTGCTCTCAACATATGGCGAACAATTACAATTAGCGCGGAAACAGCGGAGGGCCCCTGGGGCCCGAAGCCAGGCGAAAGATGCGACGCCTAGACCCAGACGTAGGTCGGGCGCGTCCTCCTACAGGCAGGTTTTGGATGAAAAATAAAAGATACCCCCCAAATTATTCAAACTTACGCAGAACAACTAACAATGATACCAGAGAAAAGCCCCAATCAGAATTTGGGGGGGGCTATGGGGCTTTAGGGCTTTAGGGCTATGGGGCTATAGGGCTATAGGGCGATGTGGCCATAGGGATATAGGGCTAGAAGCCTTTAGGGCTATGGGGCTATAGGGCTACAGGGCTATAGGGCTATAGGGCTAAGGGCTATAAGGCTATTCGGGCTATTCGGGCTATAGGGCTACATACGGCTATAGGGCTTTAGGACCATAGGGCTATAGGGCTATAGGGCTATAGGGCTATAGGGCTATAGGGCTATGGGGCTATGGGCCTATGGGGCTATGGGGCTATTGGGCTATAGGGCTATTGGGCTATAGGGCTATCGGAGGTGAGGGGGTGAGATCGAAGTGGAACGGCGAGCCCCCCACCGGGAAATCGGTTTCGGTTTCGTGTTCGTGCGTGCCGTGCGTGCGAGGGGAAGCTGCGTGGGCGGGCGAAAAAAAGTCTCCTGTGGCTGAGGCGCGGCCGGACCAAATGTTTCTCTTCCGGGGCGCGGGGCCCCGCGGTGTCCTGCCGGTGTCCCGCGGTGTCCCGCGGTGTCCCGCGGTGTCCCGCGGTGTCCCGCGGTGTCCCGCCGGTGTCCCGCGGTGTCCCGCGAGGATGATGATGATGATGATGATGATGATGATGAGATGATGATCATGATGATGATGATGATGATGATGATGATGATGGTGATGGTGATGGTGATGATGAAGATGAGATGATGATGATGATGGTGTCCCGATGAAGATGATGATGATGATGATGATGGTACCGATGATGATAGAGTGTCCCGATGATGAGGATGATGATGCTCATGATGCTCATGTTGATGATGATGACGATGATGGTGCCCTGATGATGATGATGCCGATGATGTTGGTGATGATGATGTTGATGGAAATGGTGTCCCGGCGATAATGATGTTGTTGATGATGAAGTTGATGATGATTATGGTGTCCCGATGGTGATGCTGATGATGATGATGGTGATGATGATGGTGATGCTGATGGTGTCCCGATGATGATAATAATGATAATGACGATTATGATGATGATGTTGCTCATGATGATGATGGTGCCCCAATGATGATTATGATGATGTTGGTGATGATGGTGATGTCGATATGATGCGATGATCATGATGATGATGGTGTCCCGAGGATGATGACGATGTTGATGATAATGTTGATGATGAGAACGATGGTGATCATGATGGGGTCCCGATTATGATGATGATTATGATGATGCTGCTGATGATGATGATGACGATGACTGTGTCCCGATGATGATGATGATGTTGATGATGAGATGATGATGGTGATGATGATGATGATGATGATGTTGTCCCGATGATGATGCTGACGTTGATGATGATGTTTATGATGATGATGACGGTGCCCTCATGATGATGACGATGTTGGTGATGATGTTGATGTTGATGATGTTGACGATGATGATGATGATGATGATGATGATGGTGGTGATGATGATGATGATGATGATGATGATGATGATGATGACGTTGATTGTGAGAGCGATTGTGATATCGATAGTGAGATCGATATTGAGACCGAATGTGAGATCGATTGTGTGATCGATTGTGAGATCGATTGTGAGATCAATTGTGAGATCGGTCGAATGAGATAGATCGAGTGAGATCGATTGTGAGATCGATCGAGCGAGACAAATAGTGAGATCGATACTGAGATCGATAGTGAGACCGATCGAGTGAGACGTTGGTTCCCCCCCCCCCGAACCTCCTTATCACCCGAAGGGTGGTCGTATAGGTACGGCTATAGGGCTATAGGGCACCCCCGGGCACCCGGGCACCCAGCCCCGGCCACCGAAATCGGCCACACACCTGGGCACCCGGGCACCCCCGGGAACCCCCGGGCACCCGGGCACCCGGCCCCGGCCACCGAAATCGGCCGCCCACCTCACCTCAGCTTTATATCCGCTAGGACCCCTACAGAGGCAAGCTCTGATCCGGGAAAAAATAGTCCCAGACCCCCGACGTCGTGAATTTTTCACAACGTCGACCCCCAGATCGAGGTCTGGACCCCTTCCCCGGGACAAGTGATTTCACCTTGAGTCGATTTCTGACGATCCCGGGACCCAGTGAGGGCCCCCATGAGGCCGAAAATATGGAACCACCTCCCGTCGTGATTTTTTCACAGCGCGAAGGGGGGCTGGGGACAGATCTCTCGGGCTGGATCCCCTTTCTCTCCTCGCGCCTGGCGCCAGCGCCGCGCCCCCGTCCGGCTCGAGGGTGCCGAGGCTGGAGGTCGAGACGTCGCCCACGGCCTCTCGGGGCGCACAGAGGAACAGGTGCGCCGAGGGGAGAGGAAGGGGTGAGCTCGTCCTCCTCTTCCTCCTCCTCCTCCTCTTCCTCCTCCTCCTTTCCTTTCCTCTCCTCTCCTCTCCTCTCCTCTCCTCTCCAGGAGAGGAACCGATTTTTGTTGACGGTCCTCGACCCTGGAGGGCCCTTAGATGCAGAAAATTACCAAAAACCAGCCGTCGTGATCTTTTTCTCGACGCGACGATGCCTGGGTCCTGGGTGCTCGCGCCGCTGGACGTCCTCGGATACGATTTGTTGAAAATCCGCGGCCCCATGAGCTTCCGACCCCTTCCCCAGTGCCACTTCTTCGACCCAGGTCCAGTTGTCTTAATTCCAAGGCACCCGGGGCCGAAACCTAGGAAAACTGACGGGATTCACATTGTCGCAGATCGGTCGCGACCAATTGTTGAGCAGGGACCGACCGTCCCGGCATTCCTATAGGCCTACCAAGACATGCTCTTAGAACCCAAAAATGTTCTCATAACAACAACAAGGTTCTTAGAACAAAGGCCCGATGTGTTAATTCAAAGCAGTCTCAGTCAGAAATATGATAAGAACATGCCGTGCAGACCACACCATGTTCTTAGACAATTATTTGGTGGGCCTCTAGGCACGCCAGGACGCTTCGCCGCTGCTTGAAATTGGTCGCGACCGACCTTACCAAACCTATGATCTGGCAACGACGGAATTGAACACATCGTATCGTCGAATTTCTGGCCCCTTCTTCGACGCCCTTCCTCGCCCCTCGACGTCATGTTTCTTTGGACGACGTGGACCTCCAGAAGTCTGGACCCATCTCCCGGGGAACTGGCTTCCCCTCCTGAGTCGTTGCCTGGCGATGGCCCCGGGAGGCAGAGAAAAATATCAAAACCTCCCGTCGTGTTTTTTCACGACCCGAGGGGGTCTGGGGAGATGGGGTTCGCCTATGCGGGAGAGGCGCCACTTCTCCCCCCACGCTGGCTGCTGAGCACCCCCAGCATTGGGCAACAAATCGTGGGAGCTCTGTATACCCTCGCGATTCCGTCTCTGGAGTGCGTTAGCGTCGATTCGCGCCTGGTAACCCATGGGATAGCGCCGACTCGGCGTCGATGAACACCGAGTAGCGTCGACGCAGCGTCGATTAGCGGCGATTATGAAGGGGAACTGGAACACACAAATAAATACACACAAATAAAAATATCCCCCATATTTTCCCATATTTTCTGGGTTTCTGTCTTCCCCCCCACTTCCCATATTTTCCAATATTTTCTGGGAAATCGACGATTAATTGTGTCTGTGTGTTTTTTCCCCTCCTGAGATTAACGACTCAGAGGGTCTGGGCTCGACGCCCTCGGGCCTCCAGCAGCCGCTCGCCGAGCTCCAGCACCGGGGCGCGCCGCTCCCCGTCGGGCGGCGGGGCGGGCCGCGCCTCGGCCTGGGGCGGGGCACCGCGGGCTCGTGCAGTGCCGCCCTCGGCGTCGGTTTCTTGAGGAGGGAGGAGGAGGAGGAGGAGGAGGAGGGAGGAGGAGGAGGAGGAGGAGGGAGGAGGAGGAGGAGGAGGGAGGAGGAGGAGGGAGGAGGAGGAGGAGGAGAAGGAGGAGGAGGAGGAGGAGGAGGAGGAGGGGGAAGAACGATCGGCCGTTTCCGAAACGTCAGATCGGTCAAAACGCCGGTGGCGGGGTCGCCGCTGGCCGGCGCGCACTCCGCGACCACCCCTGTGGGGTCCCCAGCGGCCCGCGGAGAGGAGAGGTGGCGCCTCTCCCGCCCAGGCGAACCCCACCGGTCCTGGCCAAGACCACCCTGGGCACAGGATCGGTGTGCGCGTGTGTGCGTCCATGACCCCGAGATCCTGCTCGACATCCCGTGGCGCTCTCCTGCCCAGGGCTCCGAGGCGCCTTGGCGTCTTCTCTTTTTCCCGCTGCGAGCAATTTCGTCCCGTTTCGGGTCCCGGGGCCCTCACGGACCGACCCGGCTCGAAAAATGCGGCAGAAAGATGCGGTCCAGGGCTCCGGGCCAGTTCTTTCACGATGCTGTTTTTTGTTTTGTTCGTGGCGTCGGGCCTCAGGGGAGGAACCCACCTCTGCAACTCTACACCGATCCTGGCCAGGGTCCAGGATCGGTCTATGCGCCTTCCTGGCGTCGGCAGGAAGGCATACAGTCAAAACTGGTAGTAAGGATGCGCGGTAGGCATGCAAGCCCCTGGGACGCCCATGTTAAAGCTTTTTCGAACGCGACGGGCTATCGAAAGTAGTCGAGGGTGGACGAAGGAGGCACGGATGCGAGGGTACCCTTGGGAAGGTCTGCCAAGCCTACCATCGGTTTCGACTGTATGCGCCGATCGACTGCCCTGGCCAGGCTCGCTGCAAGTGCTCACGTTGGTGCCCTCCCCTGCCGCTTCCCTGCCACCACCCCGCGCGAGAGCGGCGCCTCTCGTGCTGGCGACCTGCCACCATCCGGCACGCGAGAGTGGTGCCACCCCCGCCGCTTTCCTGCGGCCATCCTGTGACGCCTTTTTGTCCTGCCGCGCTCCCGCCACGAGGAGGCTCGATCTCCTCCACTCATGTTCTCACTCACGAGCGGCGACTTGGTTTTGCCTGGAAGCGAAAGCGGGGTAGGTAATTCACGCTCTGATTGTCGGCCTCCTGGAGGCTTCTCGTCGCCACGGCCGAGTCCGCCTTGGAAAACGAACCAGAACGGACCCCCGGAGGGGTCTGGGGGCCGAGTTTGAGCTGAGTTGGGCCGGGCGGGAGAATCGCTTTTAGCTCAACTGGCCCTCTTCCGACGTTGCTCCAGGAGTTCAGGGACATCTAGCGGCCCCTGTTTCTGCAGGAGCCCGCGCTCTGGGCTCCCGTTGGGCCGAACGAAAGAAATGGGGGGAGAGCAAGGGGGGGTCGGAGGCGACGAGAAGGACAAATGGCCCAGAAGGGGGGGGGGGCAACACAAGTATCCTCATGCGCCGATTCTCAGTGCCTTCGGCTACACGCAAGAGTGACCCTGGGTAAGAGTGACTTTTGGTGCGCGGCTTTCGGGGAGCCGCGGAGGGGCCAAACCCGAGCGCGCAAGCCGCCGCTATCGCATCACGTTCGGCCACCGGGGGGCCACAATGTGCCCGCACCTAAGACCACTCTGCCGAAAGGTCACTCTTACGTGCAGCCGAACGTATCCAGGGGCGCCGGTGGTCTTTGTCTTCGGTGAGGCTCCCCGGCAAATACATAGAAGAGAAAAAACGGCATAAGCAGAAACTTGCGACGGTCCGCGCGGATTTCTTGGATCTGCGCTGGACCCCCCTCCCTGGCGCGCGGAGCGCGCCAGGGGCGGCGCCGGAGGCGCCGTCGGGGGGCCTCAGCGCCGATCCAAGAAATCCGCGCGGAGCGCCAAAACTTTACGTTTATTATGCCGTCTTCTGTTCTTCGGATACATGAGATGCCCGCCTCTGGGCAATTCCCCCCCGTCGTCGCCCCTCAGGGGGTCGCGAACGCCTCCGCGCGACAAGCTCCCGGGGCGCCGCCCGGAGCTGGAGGCGCGCCCGCGCCTCGAGGAGGGCCTCTCCGGCGGCGGGGCCGAAGCCGGCTGCGTGCAGCAGGCTTCGCAGCCCCCCGCCCCGCCCCTCTCCAATCCTGCGTGTTCGATGTTCGACCATGGGCCCCTCGTGACCCATCGCTCCTGGGCAGCCTTCGGCGGTGCTCGGACGGCCTTCGGCGGCCTTCTGGCGGTCTTCGGCGGCTTCCAGCGGCCTTCGCCGGTTTCCAGCGGTCTTCGGCGCGGAAGCTGGATGGTTGCGCTCCACCAGGAGTCCATGATCGAACACCTCTCCAATCCCGCCCCCTGTCGTCCGTCCCGGCCCTAGGCCCCGCCCCCCCAGATCTTTTTGCCCGAGGAGGCTTCCCAAGTAAGAAGGTTACCGGTGGCAGCCCTGGGCCGTGAAGAAGGGGTGGGCCAGAGGCGGGGAGGCGGCAGGGACGATGCGCACCGCGTTTTTGTTCAACAGGGGATCTGTCGCCCCCTGCCCCAGGCTGTGGGAGGTCTTCGCATGGACAGCAGATTCGGGGCACAGCCCTGGAACGTACGAGGGGGGGGGCACCTGTCCTCGATGGGGGTGGCGTCCGAATAGCCCCCTGGGAGTGTACTCCCGGGTTCCCCCTTTGCTCCACTGGCCTCTTCGTTTCTCGTCGATGGGTCGGGGGCCGGGGTAGAAGCAACGTCTGCGATTGCTGTGCTGGCTTCCCGAGCCTCCAGGGCTGCCTCGAGGAGCTGCCCGAAGTCGAGCAGCGGCACGCGCGCGGCGCGCGAGGCGGCGCTGCCGCTGGAGGCCGCCGTGGCGGACAGGACGTGCGAGGCGCTGCCGGCGCTGCCGCTGCCGCAGCTGCTGCCGCTGCTGCAGGGGCTGCCGCTGCTGCAGGGGCTGCCCCAAGGCTCCTCGGCAATCCCCTCTCGGCGGCGAGCGAGGGGGGGAAGTGAGAAGGAGAAGGCCTTCTCAGGAGGCGGCGGGGCTTCTCAGAAGCCCTCGCGCCCTCTGAGAAGTGTCCAGTGTCTTCGGGGAAGGCTGAGAACACTTCTCAGAAGGCCAGGGGACTTCCGAGCCTTCTGAGAAGGGCTTCTCCTTCTCACTTCCCCCCCAGGCTCGAGGCCGATCCTCGGCAATTCCTTCAAACCCAAGCCATGCTAAAACGAAACCAAGACGAAGATAATCGAGAATCTCTGAGATCCGGTGGCTCGGGAGGATGTCTCGGGCGCCGCGGCCTTCTCAGAGCGTTCCGGAACGCTCTGGAACGGCATTCTCCTCGTCCTAGCTCCGTCTGGCATGCAACAACAAAGCGCGACGGCGGCCAATTCTTGCACGTGTTCGGCGGCTGGAGACCGCTCCCTGGCCCCAGGACCGTCAGAAGACCGATTAGGATTAGGATTAGGACGGAAAAACTGCCCTGAGGAAATGGTCGAGATCCCCCAGGAGCCCGTGTCACGAAGGACCATGTGACATCGGAGGAAAGGGCTCCTATCCCGCGAGGGGGCCTCGGGGGCCAGCCAGGCCTGCAACCAGTGCGGGCAAATTCGGCTGCGCTTCGATGCTCGGCTACACGCAAGAGTGACCCTGGGTAAGAGTGACCTTTGGTGCGCGGCTTTTTGGGGGCCGCGGGGAGACCAAACCTGGGCGCTTCGTTTTCAGCCATGTGAGGGCCCATCTGTGCCCACACCAACTTGGCATCGCTCGGACGTCCATTCCCTGTTTTTTTTGGGGGTTTCGTGAGTGTTTTTGTTTCGCCAAATGGTCAAGGATGCTCCTCGATGGTCCTCGCCAAAGGAAAAATGCACACGTCCGAGCGATGCCAAGCCAAAGGTCACTCTGGCGAAAAGTCACTCTTACGTCTAATCGAGATGCTTCGATCATCATGCTCGCCCGGCCGTGGTGCCTTCGGCTGCTCTTCGCCCCTCCTCCCCCACCCCCGCAACCCCCGGTTGGCTCGCGGCAGGACAAGGATTAGGTCGGGCGTGTCCCCCTACAGGCGGATTTTGCCCGAAAAGGCGAATTAGTAATTTGTTTTGGAATGCTAAAAAATACCCAAAAAATCTTCCCCCGACTATCTCTTGACTATTTTTGGACAGTCCTCCTGTAGAGGGACGTGCCCGACTTACGACAGGGACAGCGCGGTCCTCGACCTGCGGCAGGCTGACTCCGGGCGTGGCTGCTCGGCCGCGTGGGCTGCTGGACATGCCTTGGCCGTGTGGGTGTGCGAGCGCCTCTGGGAAGTGGGGCGTGGGAAAGCGAGCGTTTTTGTTATTCGGCGTTTTGATGCTGGGCGGAAAAACGGGGGGGGAGGGGGGGTCTGCCTCGGGACCTCTGCTTAATGCGTCTGTTTGCAACAATGCGCCCCATGGGGGAGACTCCACCCGCTCGAAACAGGCGCCAGCCAAGACCTACTCCATGGGGGGGGGAGGGGGGGTGCGAGGGCCCGCGCCGATCGGCAAAACAACAAATCAAAAAATGCTCACAAAGGGGAGCAGCGCTGGGCAGAACTGCTTGGGCCAAGACGGCCGCGTGGCAACACCATGTAACACGAGCTCCATGTTCAAGAGCGGAAAGACGTAATTCTGGTTCTGCTGGAAGGATGGCGAGAACATGCGAGATGGACGACCCCTGAATTTGCTCAGAGGCCACAGTTGCTCACCTTCTTCTGTTCTCTCTGCTCCCTCCCTGGCTCTTCTGTTCTCTGTGCTCCTTATCTGGTTATGATAGCAATGCTCCTGGTCCGAAGTGCACCGAACTCCTGGGCCCTGCAACCATAACGACAGATCGGGGCACTCTCTGGGCAGACCGCAGCAACCACTCGGAGAGCGTCGAGGTCGCCGTGACAACCCACGCACACCTTGGCCCGAAGGCGCTCCTGTTAACACCCGGCACCGTCCGCCTCTTGCCAGTGGTGCTGGACGGGGGCGCGTCTGGGACACTCGGGCTGTGCCAGCGTGCCGTGGATCTCACAGGAGCAGCGATGGCGGCCGTTTGGGAGCGCAGCAAAACGGGATCCAGTGTGACCAGAAGACCCGGGTTCCTCCCCCAACTGTTCGCTGCGGCGAGCTCCGAGCAACAAGTCCCCTGCGCTTGCCAGATGATGGCGAGAGGCCGAGCGCTGACCCACTTCACGCCTGAAGCGTGACAGAGAAGTGAAGATGCTCAGCCACAAGAGCCTCTGCTATGCAAGGCAAGTTCAACTGCGGAGGTTACCCGAAATGACGTCTGTGGCCCCAATCAAAAGGAGAGTCTAAGCTGGTGCGGAGATACACGGTTGAAGTATGCCGACATGGTTGGAGCACCCTTCAGACCTTGTGGAAAAATAGTTGACGCAACGGGGACCTATCCAGGGAGGTGCCATTTCAATGCCGTCGCAAACCAATGAACATCGCTTGCGATCTTATGATTGAACAACGCGTATAATAATTCCCGACCCTTTCGGATGAGAAGCATAGTTCAAAATGGCTCGTCACGGCTGAATCGTGGCGTTACGTCCAGGAGTTGTGCTCGACAACATCACAGTCAGTACGGACATTGGGCGAGGTAGACACTGCTCCGAAGCAGTGTTTGCACTTATGGAGGCTCTCGCTTGTCTTCTAAGGCGGTCCCGGCGTCATGCGGCCGCCCGTCGCGGCCTATGGCCGCGCCGTCGCCGATGGTAACTTCGTAAGGTTGCCGCATTGCGCTGCTTTGCGGCCATCGCGCTGTGTTGAAGCGCGTTGCGTTGAACAGCGCTGATTTGCATTGTGTTGCACTGTGTCGCGTTGCTCCGCGCTGCTTCATACTGTTTTGCAGTGTTTTGCGTTCCGTTGCATTCGTTTCGTCGCGTCGCATCGCTGGCATTGTTTTGAATTGCCTTGCGTTGCCTTGCAGTGCTTCGCGTTGACTGCAACATGGTTTTCCAACATAAGATGCCTGCACCCGCGCTCCTGCGAACCCTTATGCCGAACACCATAGGTTTTCAACATTTTCATTCCATTCGGCCAAACAGGCCCCTCGCGTCGCATGTCGAACTCATTCGCGCGCCCATGCCGCTCTCGCGCGCCAGCCGCGCGCGCATGTCGAACTCCTTGCAAAACCTTCATCACCGACGCGCGGACGCCGTCATCGTCGTCGGCGTGATCAGCATCGGCGCCGTCACTACCCTTGACGTCACCTTTGTCATTATCGACAACAGCATCGCTACTACCATCAACGTCAAAACCGTTGCCGACGTTGCCAGGATACCGCGCCCGCCCAAATCGCCGACTCGGACTGAAGTGCCCGCTAAGAGCTGCCCAGCGGTCAGCGCCACCGCGGCCGCGTCGGTCGCGCCAAACTAGCTGCCCACTCCGCGCGCGAGCATGCAAGGGCTAGCGCGGCTGCGGAGATGTACCAGCCAACGCCAAGCATTCATCGCAATCGCCCCCGCATGGGTTTTGCAAACCAAGTTGCGGGTGGGTGGGTGGGATTGTTGCGCGAGCAGAACAGTTGAGAGCTCACTGTGAACAGAAGTTTGCTCTCCTTCTGCTGTAAAGCAATATTCTAGCCCCATCACCCACCGGGACTTATCAAACCGGCCTCGCGCATTGCAATTTGCATGCTTCCGCCTCTTTGCTCATTTTCCTTATGAGTTCATACCATCCCAGCCAGGCTGGAGTTCGTCCCCTTCCCAAAAATATATGCGCATCAGTGTTAAAGAATACCATGCTACAGATGCAACGAAGTGCACATGCGGGCGTCGTCGCGCGCGCATGCCGGAACCCATCAAAAACCCAAGGTTCTGCCAGGAGTTCAAAATCGAGGAGCACGACAACATATAACAAACAGTTGGTGCCCGAACAGGGGCTTTCAAACAAAACCTGCGCCCGCGCTCTTGCGAACTCAAGAACACCATTGGTTTTTCAACACGCGCCCGCTGGGAAGTGATCAACGGTCATCGCCACTGCTGCCGCGTCGGTCGCGCCAAACTAGCTGGCCGCTTCGCGCGCGAGCATGCGCGGGCTAGCGAGGCCGCAGAGATGTACCAGCCAACGCCAAGCACTCATCGCAATCGCCGCCGCATGGGTTTTGCAAATCAAATTGCGGGTGGGTGGGTGTGATGCATGGAATTTGTCGACTCATCACACACACACACACTTCACAGACAACAGGCAAGGTCGCCTGAGTGCTCATCCCGCTGCAGCCCAGATCCGAAGTCAGCTGCCGCCGCCGTCGACCGCCTGATGCCGCGCTCGAACTGACCTGGATCCAGCCCGTTGTCGGGCTCTTCTCACCCTGGACCACCGCACCTGCAGACACCCATCCCCGATCGTTTGCTTGCTGCCAGGGCCACACGACATGTGTCGTGGCAGGTTGGTAGAAACGCGTGAAATTCTCCGATTGGTCCAACATTGTCTGCTGCGCCGACTCTGCAGCCGGCGCAATGCTCACGTTGCGGAGCTTCTCGGCGAAGCCAGTGAGGAGATTTCATACCCGTGACTCAAAGTCGACCAGAAGGCGAACTGAGCGGGCACGCCCGTCTGCCCCAATTAAATTTGACTGGAATCTGGCTGGCAAACATATGTTAGAAAGGCTAGATGGGTATCTGGTTGCTGGCAAGCACCTGTGAGAACGGCCGGCTAGAAGAACATCGTAGAGAAGCGCGAACTGTCCATACCAACCCGCGACTGCGCACAACTGGACGATTTCCTTCGCTAAGATCTTCACGGTGCTGTTCACGATGTCCAGAGGAACCCGCTGCGAACAAGTCGTCTGGGCCAGGGCCATGATCTCCAACTTCGCTGAACAATCAAAGCGCCATCTGGAGTGCGGACGATTGTTGGACAGGTTGCCCGAATGGAGCTATTGGCCACTGCCACGCAAAAACCCTCCCCTGACTCTTGTAGCCGTCCACGAGACGCACGCGTAGGCTGCTGCGCTCTGCGTACGTGAACTCCGAAAAGTTCGCGTCGATGGCGAAGCCAGGAGCCGTTTTCAAGCTCAACGCGCTGCACCTGTCACAATATTCTTCGGCCACGCTCCTGATAGTGAGCGGCCAAGCGACCAACCTGGACTGGTCCCTGCCTCGCAAGGGCCATCGAGCAGAAAGTATAAACTGCTCGCTGAAGTACCGGTTAGTGCTCCGCATGGGTCCGCTTGCAAGTTGAACGCAAAGCACGCGCTGCTCGCACCGCACAGCGTTTCCCAATAGTTGCGACCAATGTCATTGAGCGCCGCGCACTCGTAAGTCGGCTCCCCATACCCGTCCAAGATCGTAAAGTCAACACCTCACGACACATTGAGTGCCCGCCATATGCCAGCCACTCCGATCAGCGCCACAAATGCCGCTGCCGTCATCACAGCGACGCTCAAGACAGCACCAGGCCACATCCGCGGCTCGGGCACGTTGGGGACATCCTCAGAGTAAGACGCAAGAGGTACTTCCTCGTTCTGGAGCTCGCTCTGAAATTCAGTGGTAGCGAACTTCATGTACCATCACAGCCTTCGGGTAGGTGGTGGTGGCCCCGCCCCTCAATCGTTAACCTTGAACGCGAAACATCTTGTCCCACAGACGGTGCAATACTTGAGTCCACATGGCTACGGACATTGAGCGAGGTAAGGCTGGAAAAATGCAATGGGACGGGACAGAATGAAGGCGGGTGCCGAATGCAATCGGACAGATAATGCAAGCATGCACTGTCAGCAATAAGAAAAAGTTCAGAGACCACAGTCATGATCCACTTCACCCACGAAGTTTTTGGTGCAGCAAGGTCCTGCCACCGCACCACCCATCGGCATGCCATGACCTTGGTAACCAACAGCACTGAAAGTCAGGAGGGCTGACGCAGGACAACTCCATATGCATATACTCTTGGTGCAATGACGTGCTCATAGCTCTCTGCACCCCATGTTCCGACGTGATTATGCTCCTACCTAACAGCAAAAACGCGGCTTCCTTCACCCTGTCTCTGACCCCCTTGGCATCGCGACATCGCCAAATCGCAGGCTCGCACACGCTCACGCTGAGGATGGAGGAGGCCCAAACCCCGAATGTTGTGTGTGCAGTGCTTGTGTGTTGTTGCACGACGTGAGCCCCAGGAGGTCCCGACCGATTCCCCCGAGGAAGGTGTTTCAAGCGGAGTCGTTTCGGGCGGCCTCAGGGTCCAGCACGATCTTCGCAGGCCGAAACCTGTGACACGACTTCCGTCGTGATTTGGTGACGACGCGAGGGGGTCCGCAAGGCCAACGCTGTATGTGTACATAGATCGATCTAAAACAAATTACAGCAGGCCCATATCGTGAGGATGCGCGATAGGGATGCAAAGGCCTTGGACGCCCATTTCGAAGCTTTTCGAGCGGGGCGCGGCCAACACAAGTGGCCAAGGATGCACCGAGGAGGCAAGGATACAAGGGTACCCTCGGGAAGGATGCCCATCCTTCCTGTGCGGGTTGACTGTGCAGCCAGAAACCGTATCAAGAAAAATCTCAGCTAAGGAATCTGGGCAAGCTGCCCAGAAGTTTCGTAAAACGCACCCGTGCCACAGGTTCGTGTGAACGATGGGGGGACGAGCGTGCTCAAGAAGCTGGGCCAGCTTTCCAGCAAGTCGGCCAAGAAACGCTGGCCCAGCTGTTCGGGAGGAGGCTTCCGAATCCGATGCTCGACTGTACATCTCCAGAGATCTGGCACGTGGGCGCGGGGGGGGGGGGGAACAGTGCCCCCGCAACCACGAAGCCAATGCGGCACGAGCTGGCGACGGTGCCCCCGCCGGTTTCCGCACAGCAGCGGGACCTGCCGCTAAAATCCGGGCTCCCTGCGGTCGGGAGCTCCTGCTCCGCGCGGCGTGGCGCCGGCCCCTGCGTTCACGCTGTGCCCCGAGAGCTGGTGAGCTGCGCCACTCCGCTCCGCGGGGCGGGAGGCCGGGAGAGAAGCTCGGCGCGTGGACGCCCCGGGGATGGCCTCTCGCGCCGCCAGCGCGGTGGGCCAGGACCGGCGGCGCGACACTCCAAGCAGAAGCTCAGTTCCGCCGTCCACGTGTGCGCTTCCTCGAACCAGGAGGAGGAGGAGGAGGAGGAGGCGGAGGAGTAGAAGAAGGAGGAGGAGGAGGAGGAGAAGGAGCAGGAGCAGGAGCAGGAGGAGGAGGAGGAGGAGGAGGGGGATGGAACACCGCTCCCCCCTAACACTTTCACCCGCAACGTAACTGCATCGAGGGCACCCCAGTCTGCGGGTCTGGCCTCGGAGCCCCACCCCAGGGCGGCGACGGCGAGGCGAGACCGGGCCGAGGGGAGAAGCCGTCGCATGGCCCTCGCGACGGCGAGACGAGACCAGGGCGGTTCGAGGCCGTGGCATGGCACCCTGGACGGCCTCAGGGCGCGCATGGCGCGTCGCGCCGCAGCGTGGTGGACCAGAACCGGCGGGGCGACACGCTCAAGTCCTTCACCGCAGCTGGAGCAGCAAAGAACAAGCTGCATGAGCAACATCTCTCGAAGGTCCGCCCGGATTGCTTGGATCGGCATTGACCGCCCCTCGCCTGGCGCGCGGAATGCGCCAGGGCCGGCGCAGCAGGCACCACCGCGCGAGGGCCAACGCAAAACTAAAAGATCCGCACACTTCGAACGTTTATGGTTATGCAGCGGAGGGCTTCTCCTCCTCCTCCTCGTCCTCCTCCTCTTTCTTGCGCAACGCGCTCTTACTCCGGATGCTGGCTGACACGGATTACTTTGCCACGCCAACACTTTCGGCCGAAGAGGGACCGTGCATATTTTGCAGATTCGCACCCAAAATCCGAATATGCTAAGGATGCACCGTCTGCTGAGGGATGAAACAGTTTTGGCCTCTGTCACGGCCTGGGCCCTGGGCCCCCAGTAAGCCAGCTTTTACGAAGGGCGCCTGGGGACCCTCAGCGAGCCCCGGCGTCCCTGTCTGCCCTGTACCTTGCGTTCGCCCTCTTTCCGATGCGAGCCATGAGCAGAGACTTTGCAAAACATGAAAGGGTCCTGAAGAACCTGCTTCTCCTCCTTCCTTTTCCTTCCTCCTCCTCATCACCACTCACATTCACTGGGTGGTGCGATTCGGTCACAGACAGCTCTACTGAGGTAGTAACACGCACACATTGTTTAAACTTGAGTCAAAATGGTACCAAACACGTGGATTGAGCCGAGAATTATGGCTCCAGAGGAAAGCAAGGTTTACAAAACGTCCCCCCACCAATTTCGGCACGGACCCCACGAATCGTGCCCCCCCGTGAGCTCCACTCTCGGGTCCAGGGACAACGTTTCCATGACGTCCCCCCCCCCTCGATCGGCGCACCCTTCACACGGATCGTGCCCCAGAGGAATGTAGTTTCACGTGCGGCCCTGGTGGAAGCAGGCGCTTAACGTCAGGTCTTCCTGTGTATGTTGACTTTCTCCTCACATGGACCGTACCCCATTGGGAACTCCTCCAACGGCTCCACAGCCAAGGTTCGCATCCCGCCGCCCCGCCCATGTCGGCACACTCCTTACCTGGGCAGTGAGGTCGGCGCGTCTTGGGTGCCTCTCGGCGCGCGGGCTGCGGCGCCCCAAGGTCCTCTTTGGCTTTCCTTGGGCCGCCCAGGAAGTGTCGCTGGACAGCTCGGTGCTGTCGTGGCTATCGCGAGACGGGTGTGTGGGATCTTTGAGCCGTGGTGTATCTCTTTTAGGGATTGTCTCTTGGGGCCCTCGTGTGGCTCGCTTGGGGGTGGCCTGGGGCCAAACGCAATATGCTGGGCACTGAAACTGCCGCCACCGTGCCTGGGTTATGGGTCAGAGGTCTCTTGGATGCATGTTCGGCTCTCTTGGGAAGCCTCTTAGGTGAGCGTTTTGGAAGCAGTGGGCCTTTGAGGGGCCGTTTGGGGGCCTCTTGGACGTTATGTTGGGCGTCCTGGTGGCATCATGGGGCTGTCATGAAGGCTTCCTGTGGACCTGCTGGCGGTCTTGGGGGCCCCCTTGGATCGGAGGGCTCGGAATGTGAGTTCACATCCTCCTTTCTGGGTCCTCCCTAAATGCCCTGCCAGGGGCTCTCTTGGGCCGTCTTGAGCGCCTCGTGGGCCGCCTTCAGCCTCTTCTGGGCAGCTGCGATGCCTCATTGGGGGCCTGCGTGGCCGTTTTTTTGGGCGATCTTGAGGGAGCAGTTGGGCCGTCTCGAACGCTGTGAAAACCAAACTGGTGAATGTGTTAAAAGTGCACGCCGTCCGCAAAGAATGGGGCGATGTGGGCCTCTTGGGGCTCTCTTGGTGGGGCCTCTCGAAGATCTCTCTATGGGCGTCGTGGAGATCTCTGGAGCCGCCGTGCGGTGATCTTAGCGGTCCTGGGGCGCCTTTGGGGCGCGCCCCAAGGGCTGTCTGGAGCGGCCGGGGAACGGCCCAGGCGGCCCTAGGGGTGGGTGGGCCCAGCTTGGGGGTTCGAGGCCACTGCTTCTGGGCCCCAATTTCCTTCCCCAGGTAGATCTGTATACGTACACACAGATATGTATACACACATTCATACGTGCACACCTACATACCGACCTACCTACCTACCTACCTACCTCCCTACCTACCGACCGACCGACCGACCTACCAACACACCACATTTATGTATGTGTGTGTATATATATATATATAGATGTGTATGAATACACATATAAGCGCATACATGTACACACACATATACACGGGGAGAGATGCACTTTCGCAGAAAGCTCTTCAGAGCAACACAAAGACATGCTGGATACCTTTCTGCTCCGATGACGGGCGCGCTTCCAGGTCCCTAGAAGGCACTCCGGGAATCCGAAGGCGCGCCTGTGTGGAAGCCCTCGTGGAGGCTTCTGTGAGCCTTTGGTGGACGTTCTAAGGCCGTTTTGGAACCCTGCGGGCCTTCTTCACGGCCCTCTTGGCGTGTCCAGGCTCGTTTGGAGGCCCTCTTGGCGTGTTCAGGCAGCACCCAATGAACATCCATGATTTTTGCCTATTGGGGCTGTTGCTGACAACAATTTGTGGCCCTCTAGAGCCGTCTTGGATGCCTCTGCCGCATCGGAGCGATGGTGGGCGTGGTGGGGCCGTCTGGGAGCCCTGCAGGCCTCCTTGAGGACCTGGAGCCCGCTTGGGCGATTCTGGGCGCCTCGTGGACCGTCTTGGCGCCCGCTTGAGGTGTCTTGGAGCCCTGTCGGGCGCCTCTTGTGCCGTCCCTGCGCATCAAGCAGCGGAGCGGGCGACAACACGAGAATCCTTGAAATACCCAGGGGAAATCTATGATTTTCGCCCCTGGAGCCTGTCTCGGGGATGAGCTTGAAGCCCTCTTGGTGCGCCTCGGAGGCTCCCTGAGCCCGCATCGGAGCAATGATGGGCGGGCTGGGGCCGCTTTTGGGCCCAGAGGGCCTCGTTTAAGGCCCTTGTGGCATGTCCGCGCTCATTTGGGGCGCCGCCCTGAGCCCTCTGGGGCGATATGGGGCGCCTCTTGGGTCGTCTTGGCGCCATCTCGGGATGTCTTGGGGCCCTCTTCGGCGCCTCTTGTGCAGCAAAGGGCCGCACGAACATCCTCGAACATCCCTGGGGAAATCAATGATGCTCACCCCTGGGACCTCTCTCGTGGATCAGCTGGAAGC